TTTTTACGTGTACAAAAGTTGCCTGGCCTTACCCATAACCCTAGATCCAAGTAAAAGGCATTTCTAACGTCTTACGACGATCTAATATGTAAATTAATAGAAATATAGATATTTAGTTAATTTTACCCCTCATTTGTCCTCATTATTTAATCGGCCTAAATCCCCTTTTTAGGAAATAATATTAATTAAATATTGAAAGGTCACATATTTCAATTGATTTCCAACAGGATTATTCATGCCAACGAAAAATCATGAGAAGCTTTTATTAAGAAAATATCATTACATTTTGACTTAATTCTGGGAATCCCCTATCCATTTCAAGTAAATAGCATAATTTTTAAATAAAAATTTATAACATAAAAATGATATTTCAGTCGAATTCCAACAGATTATTCATGCCAACAAAAAATCAGGAGAAACTTTCCCCCAATTAAAAAATTATCATTACATTTTGACACGATTCTAGAAATCTCCTATCCACTTTAAATCAAAATAAGCCCAGCCAGTGAGAAATACATAATAAAAAATTACAAAATTTTAGAGTAGAAAAAATGCAGAAAGACGGAAGTAACACAGTAATACAATATCTTCATAAAGTGCGATTGTAGTAAATATATCATCTGGGATCTCATGAGAGACCCTCAACATTAATTGGACATTGAAAAATAGATCGAGACCAAATGCTCATTCCATTGGAATACTTGATTGAATCGTTCACCTCTACTTTTCTTTGGATGATACGACCTCGAACGTCACTCCATTCTTGTTTAACTCTTCGATCAACGAGGTTTTCGCGAATGCTGCCCCTGGAGGGTAAACACCGCCGCTGGAAAACGAAGAAAAAATAATAAATAAAAATAACAAATAAATATTATAAGTAATATTATTATTATAAGATAATAAATAAAATTCCATTTAAAAGCAGTGGAACACTGTTGGAAAATTACCCTTGAAATTGTAACTTAAAATCATGAAATTTTCAACAACTAATCTACCTGAATTTTCAATCTATTAAAAATTCAATTGAATCTAATGTTCAATTTCTACAATGAGAACATGAAAGACTCATTTTTATTTCAATTCCAAGGTAAATCAGAAATTCCATCAACGATTTATCATCAAATTGAACTCATGTTCACAATATTGAAAAATCAAATGCTGTTATTCGAATTTCAAAAAATTTCCAACAGTGGAATGATGCAAATTATGATGTATCTCTTACTTCTCCGGCATTTTTTCATCTTCCTTGAGCACCGTGAGGGCTGCTATCATCAGCATAGTGCAGGTAGCACCATATCCAGGATTTCTACCCGACACCTTGGTAATCATCTCTTTATTCGGGGGCTCAGAATGCTTGTCAGTAGGTTCAGCGAGTTTCTCGGTCCATCCACTTGCTTTCATAGTGATTGAGAAATATGTTTTGTCCATAGCCGCGGGGGTTGGGCCCTCGTGGCTAACGAATCCACCGGAGAACAATTTTGGGTACTATTGAGTAAAATATTCCATTGATTCACACACGTGAAAAAAACGTGAAAATTTTCAGCCGAAGAATTTCTACAGAAAATATCTCAGTAGAAAAATTTCTATTAAAAAATCGATTTTTTTTTCTATAGAATATTTTTCATTGAACAGTACTCTTGGAAAACGCGTAGATAAGCTGCGGCATTTTTCTATAAAAAAAATGATAGAATTTTCAATAGAAATCTACTAGAATTTTTTCGAAATTTTCTTTCTATAGAAAATGTTGGATAAAGACTATTCCATAGAAAAAATCAGTAGAATTTCATATTTCTAAACAAACTTTTCTATCGAGACATTGTCTATAGGAATTTCTCGACATAAATTTTTGCATGTAATACCACAAGGGCTTCAAAATTATCAGGTATTTTCCGATAGATTCGTTACAAACAAACGAAGGAAGCAAGTTCGTTTAATTTTGAAGCTCGAGTGGTATTCGGAAGAGAATTTTTCTATCCAAATTTCGACAAAGAGACTTAGTATAAGACAAAAGCTATCTGTCTGTTTCACTCAAACAGAAAATCTTTTTTTAATTTTTTTAAATTTTTTTCTATTTCATTGGTTTTATCGAAGTAATTCTCGATTTGAAACCCCTTCTCTAGCCTGCCTCCCCGCCCTTTCTTTTCCTCTCATTGTTATCTGCGGTAACATGGCCGTTCTACCCTTAGCTGTGCCCCATTCGAGCTAGGATTGCACGGGAAACCATGTAAAACCCCAGTCGCACAGCCGGCCGATTGTGCAGTGCCCTAATATATCCATCTGTCACACTGACTAGATGGAGACACTAGGCCGCTCCACCGTACCTACCGCCCGCAATTTTTGTGCGAGCGAGGTGTTCCTAAGCGGCCACCCATCCAAGTACTAACCCAGCTCAACGCTGCTTAGCTTGGATGTCCGCCAGAGCAACACTTCACCCACCTAACCATTACAGTAGATCAAACAGAAAATCTTTTGTTTTTCATATATATATCAACATGAAAAATTACCAGTGGAATTATAAAAAATTATTAGTTGAATACCATGTTGACTAGATCAAATAACAGTCGAATAGTGCAATTCTATTGGCTGAAATTTGCATGGGAAAAATTTTCTAGTGAATTGATTAGGTTTTTCTATGAAATTTTTTCGTAGTTGTCAATAACTTAGAAAAAGAATGGATTTGTTTTCCACTTTCAACTAATTTTTTTCAAACTTCAAAATTAGACCTGAATGAGATTTGACAATTGAAGATGAATAAAATTACTTATTCGAGTGGACTTACCTTCAGCAGGAGAGTTCGTCCACATTTACACTTGGTCATAAGAGAAAAGACAGCACCGACACATGCTACTGATATTAAAGTCAGGAGAGATCTGCAATATTCATCGTAATGTGACAAAACTCAATGAAGTGAATATTTTTAAACTTCAAGTTTTTGCATGCGTCTGACAATTCCCTCTGGAATCACTCATCATCGAAATAATTTCATTTACGAAAAAAAGGAGTGAAACTTGAATGAAATACCTGATCGTCACGTATGTCTGAACCTGTACTGGACGTGTCTTGTCATTTTCAAAGAGATAACGTTGGGATCTATTTGCAACTGATTTATCAGATCCAGGAAATACGACTGAGTATCCCTCCGAAACGCTGCTGCGGTGTATTGCACCCCTGAAACATTTTTTATTATTCTCGAATCAATTAAAAAGGATAGATTAAAAAATTTTCACAGAAAAACCTAGCAAATTGGCTAGACAAAAACATTTTATTGGATTTCTATTGAGCGTTTTTATCAGTTTTTCACCGATTCTCTTGAAATGTTTGATAGAAAATGTTCTATAACAAAAAATTGATAAAATTTGATTTTTCTATCCACCTTATTCTATTGAGATATTTTCTGTAGAGTTTCCTCGGCTCAAATTTTCTAATCTAAAAAAATCTAATGCTATTGACTTTCTATAGAATATGTTGTATTGAACATTTCGATAGAATCGATCAAAAACTAATAGAAAGTGCAATAGAAATCCAATAGAATTGTTTAGCAAATTCGCTAGGTTTTTCTATTAAATTTGTTCATATGTGTCATGCACTCTTGGTATAACACTATAGAAAATGTCTCAATAAATTTTTTTTTATAGAAATATGAAATACAGCTGACTTTGTCTATAAAATAGTTTCTATTAAAAACTTTGTATTAAAAAAAACGCAGTAAAGCAGAGGAATTCTGCAATAGAATCAGCCAAAAACTAATATAATTTTCAATAGAAGCCCAACACAATTTTCAATTGAAGTGAGTTTTTCCATGAAATTATTTCGTGTGTGGAAAAATACCTTGGTTTCAATCTTGGTTCAAACGCTGGCAATCTCTTTGGATAAAGTTTTGATCTCAATCCCCTCAGTTCATCGGCGTGAGCCAGTCCATAAACAGCTGATTCCCATGTGCCATAATGAAGTGCAGCACCACCGAGATTGTGGTCTGACCAAGAATTCAGGTAGGTTTCGATGCTGTTTACTTCGCCCTCGAATTTTTTCTGAGTGAAGATTATTCCAAGATCACAGGGGATGCTGTCAAAGCCACATGCGCTTATTATGTACACACCGGCTTTTCTAGCAGCTTCTTTGTATTCGAGCTGAATTCTCTCCATGTACTGAAAAGCATTAGAAATATTAATGGAAAAATCATCGAGAGCGATTGACAAACGTTTATTAGTAGTCCATTTCTATCGATTAAGGATGATTTTTGGTGAAAAATGTTATTTGCAATTTTTCTTTGACCATTTAATATTTTGAAACATATAATTAATTAGATCGCTGCCATTTTGTGATGTTGTAGCCAAATTAATTCAACTATTCATTAAAAATTCTAATTATTTTTGTCAAATAATTCAGCTGCGCGTTTTTTTATAGAAAATGTCCGATAGAAACTGTTGTATAGAAAAAGTCAGTAGAATTTTATCTTGCTATACAACCTTTTTTATTGAGACATTGTCTATAGGAATCCCTTGACATAAATTTATCAAAAGTCCAATAAAAAATAATAGAAAGTTTATCAGAAATCCCGTATAATTTTTGTAGTGAATCCCCTAGGTTTTTCTATAAAATTTTTTCGTACGTTTTTCCCTTTTTTTAAAATTTACTTTAATTCGTTCTACAGTTCTTCGGGCTTCGATTTCTCAAAAATACTAGTTAAATTGAATCTAAATGAAAAATATGGTTCTTACAAAATTCTACACAATTTGTACTAATTTCTGGGATACTTATTGATTCTGATGCATTGAGAATAGAATTTAATTTACTTTTCATGAATAATTGAATTAATCTGGCTGTAATGTCACAATATTAATGAAGGAAAACATCGTTCTCTTATGTTCTCCCATTCCACAATTGAATAAACATATTAATATTTACCTGAGGTTCTCCACTGACATCAACATGATGAGTTTTCGCTGCAATGCAAGCATTTACTACTGGCTCTCCAAAGAATCTGTAAGGTCCGCAACAGTTGACAACGACTTTGGCACGTTCAGCCATTTTTTTGAGGGACTCTTCGTCCTTAACATCAGCGACAATGACTGGGACATTATCTGGGGACAAGAAATTCAATCATGAATATCAATACCAGGTTTTTCTGATGAAAGAATAGGGATTGATTAAGCCAGTTGTATTAAAGGTGAGGCTTGCCTGTTGAATTCAGACCGAGGAAGATTAATTATAACTGGCAGAGAAAAACAATTTTTCCTTTTTAAGCGCATATCACTGATTTCCTGGGACATGTCATTGATTTTAATGAATCTACCGCCAATGATTGGTGATACTGGACACTGACTAGAATGACTCGATCATTAGTGATTTATATCACTCAAATTTTGCGAAAATTGAATCGTGAAAGATGAATCGTGAAAATCACTGACATTATATAAAGTTAGTGATAATGTTACTGAAAAATGTTGATAAAATTACTGAATTTCAGAATTTTTGCAATTACTGAATTTTGAAATTGCGGATTTCTAATAATTCGGGATAAATTTCTGAAAATCAGTGTATGATGACTACGTTTCCACAACACCTCTGTCATACATACGCAAACAAAGTCCATTTCCCAAAAACCTTTCCTAAAAGTTCCAGAATATTCTACAAAACATTCTTCTCTCCCTTTCTCACACACACACAGAAAATTAAAATCCCAACTTCTTTCTTCCCTTGGAAAAACTCAGAAATTTCAAACCCAAAAATGTTTTCCTCTCTGTGATCTTTCGTGAAGTTCGACATTAGGTCACAAGTTCCCGCTTAGTTGTGTTGAAATTTACCCCTGCAGTTACATGATGATAGCAATTACGCGATGCAGCAGCTTATTGAGTGCTGCCTCATCGTAATTAGTCAGTAATAATTGTATATGATGAAATTATCTCAAAGAAAAAAATCAAATTGACTCAGTGGATGTGAGGCCTCGATCTCAAGCTCTGCATCAAAATGATCGAATTGGAATAATCAAATGAAATAGCATGAATATCATTATGTGATTACAAATTTGAAGACGAACCTGTATATATTTATAAACTTTTTCAATCAGGAATAATAGAAGATGAAGATACAAAACAAAGAAAAATCAAACCAAATCAAATGACATTTGTCTCACCAGCATCTGGCGCAAATTCTTTGAGAACGGCTTCTAAACGTTCCTGATTTCTCCCAGCAATACCCCACGTGAATTGTTGCGATTTACATAGACGTTGGGCCTCTTTGATAGTGTATTTTCCCGTGAAACCTGTTGCACCGAAAATTATCAGGTCTAAACGTTTCTCAGCCATTTCTGAAAATAAATCAACCAATTTTATATTTCACTTAATTTATTTTGTTTTAATTTAAAATTTTTTTTGTTGAGTCAAGAATTTAAAAGTATCACATTTCAAATAAATAATTGATCTGCAGATAAATTCTATGAAACAAATTAATTAAATGATACACATGGAATAATTTAATAAAAAAAACCTAGTGCTTCTATTGAAACTCTATAACAATTTGCTCGAAATTTTTGTAGAATTCTCTTTAAGAAATCTATTTGTTTTTTGCGCTATTTCTGTAGGGGATTATGCAATTTATCGGGTCTTTTTCTTAAGAGATATTCGATAGAAAAAGGTCAATAGATTGTGATTTATTTATAGAAATTCTTGGGCATAAATTTTCCAATTTTTTTCGGCTGTTTTTTTTATTGGTTTCAAAGAAAAAATTCCTGAAAAAAAAACTTATAGAAATCGTGGAAAAGAATTTTTAATAGAATTCTAATAGAGTTCCAATAGAAATTTGATAGAATTTCTCAGAGAAAGTACTAGGTTTTCCCATTAAATTTTTTCATACGTCCAGAAAAAATTACATAAATTGATTAATAAATCTGAATTATAGACTAAATATGTAAAAACAACTCCTGTAAAAAATGTAAATATTTCGATTAAAATAATCAACACTGATAGGGTTAATAAATCCTGTAGATTCGTGCGCTTTGAACAATAAAAAAAAATGTTCGTTGAAAACAATTAATCCTATTATTCATTGAAAATAAAAACATTACTTTTCAACCTTTTCAATTTCTCAAATTTTAATCATCAATTATGATTGAAGATTCCATACTCTACGACATTACGATATTATATGATAATTATTAATCTTTCGTGTCCCTCGAATCCAGTTCCAAAGTTCTTGTTTACACGTTACGGAGACTTGTGCGCATCATTAAACAATCTATTACGTCACAAATGCCGGTCAACAGTGAATGTAAATTCTTGAAATGCGCATAAATTTCCAGAAACACCGGAATCTTCCAATTCCATTAAAAGTCAAGAACTAATAGAACTCAGTAATTGGCACAATCACATCGAACAACAAATCAATTTACCTGAGTGCTTAATGATGCCTTAATTAATTGTTCCTCGTGAGTCTCGCCGAGTGAATGCTAGTGAGTACTCCAAAACGTCAGAACTCGTATATCGTCGCCGCCAGGAAAAATTTGGTTCTGAGTGATATATAGGAGACGTTGAGTTGGAGCTAATTTCGAGAGAGTGGGGGTACTGTACCCAACCACGACCATCACGACCATTCTTTTTTGGCGAGGACTATATAACAGAAATTATAGGAGAGATTGCCAGCGCTTATGGAGAAGCTTCAACCAGAGATTATAGGGGAGATGAGCAGGGCCAATGTAAAGTGTTCAACAGCAAAATTCGTAGCGGTGGCGCATGGACTACGATGGAGCGTACGGAACTGTTGGTATGGTAGGGCCCGAGCATAAATTTGTCGATAACCGGAAAGGGGTTCTCAATACGGTAGCTCCTCGCATTTTGTAATAATTGTCAGGAATGTAAAATCAAACATTATAATCAATAGTATAATGAATGCAGAATTTAATGATCTAAAAGTCTTTTCCTTTTTCTCGACATATTTATTATTGACACGTAGGTCAAAAAATTCATAGAAAATCCCAG